TATCAGGAATATATGAACCTCTGCAAAGCAGGGAAATGCAAAAATTACTACCTGACACACATCAGGTACAGGCTGTATGGCCCTTTATAAAACAAGGGTATTTATGTGGTGTTCAGAAGCATATGATGGAAATCTCTGTGCAGTGAGACAGCCTGATGTTGTACAGACTCATCAGCTGTGCTTATTCCCACATCAACCAAGCTCTGCAGCTCAAGTGCTGAATTAAATCAGCTCTACAACCATCAATCATAGGAGCTGTGAAGCACTGCAGCAAGTCTGAACCCAAAACTGACACGCTGCAAGTTGGAAACTGTCTTCTGCTGAGCTGCCTCATGACAAAGAGTCTGTAGGATCAGTTATAACTGTACTTGTAACCTTAGAGTGCTCCTGTAGCTTCCTTGCTCCTAAGTAATCAGTCTCACTCAAACAAGCCACCTCCAATACCTCTGGTCGTTACAGAGAGGAAAAGCCTGAGCCTTTTTTCTCTCCATCCCAACCAGCTTCAACAGGTAGATCTAACAAATCTGTTCAATCTTTTTCTCCTCCTTCCACCTGAAAGCAGTTGCAGGCCAGTTTGCTTTAAAGCTCATACCCCAAATAAGTAGCCTGATGCCTTTCTGTGAGACCTGGGAGCAAAAAAAATCCCAAACACCGAGTTGAACTGAAAGTATCATGAGTCTCCAAAATCACAGTAAGGGCATGAAGCTCAAATCCTAGAGGGCTCATAAGGTGTAAAAGTCTGGAATGGGAATGATCAGAGACAGCAGATAGTTTAGGAGCTGAACCCATACAGAATCCACTGCAAATTTAAGGCACTCCTGTAATGTTCCACTTTCAAGCCCTAAGCTCTTCAATTTTACTAAAATTCCTATTCCAAAGGAAATGAGCTTTTCTTCTTCAGCACCTCAGTGTGAAAAGTACAGATCCATCAATATCACAGTTCCACTGGGGAAGCTTCTCTGAAGTCAGACACACAAAGTTTGGCCAAATTATTTTATAGAAACCACCATTCCCTCTCCATTCTAGGACATCCTTTCGTCCATGTACAAAAAAGATAAGGAGATACTGGCCAACCTCTCTCTGCTTTGAGGATGTCATAAGATTCTCTCATAAACACTACACATATCACAGTGAATCACACGGTACTCCATCCATTCTGGAGAAAAAGACCTAATCTGAAGTCTGAATAAAAATAATAAGTTCTTGTATATTTCAAACCTCAAAATTCAGCTCAGCACACTTGTTGCAAGGAAGAGGCCTCTTTTCAGACTGTCTTCCCACAGCTCATACAGAGTTGTTCGATGAAGTGATACAAGGAACAAAAGACTTCCCACAAATTCCCATTAGAAGCTAAGTATTTGAACACGTAAACACAGTCTATACGCTGACAGTGACAGGGCAGTAGTGAATGGGAACTACTCATTCCAAGAACTACATGCTAATACATGACTACAGTCTGAGTCAAACTACAACATCCAACTTTGATGGAGTACAACATGTTCCTACTCCCATTTGCCCCTTTATTGGGATTATGACTCCACAACTCAAGAGGCAAAAAGCAAACACACTAACTTCTCTGTTCACACAAGTCAGTGTCCAATATCGTATTACAAATCCAGCTTTACTGGAGATTTCAGCAAAACATACTAGATGCGAACTCAGGCAACTAAGGAGCTGACTCACATTCACTTCTACCATCTCTGCTGCCAGGACAGAGTGAAGAGGAAGCAAGCAAGTGGCCAGACTCAAGGCCACCAGATACTGCAACTCCAAGCCCAAGGATGATCTCTCTACTAAATTAGCTAGGTCTTACACTAGCCAGGAACTTACACTAGAATGCAATTAAACAGAGGACTGATACTCCTCTGTTAACAGAGTAAATCCAGCTTTTGATATTATAAACCTGAAAAACAGTGATCTGTGAACTGAAATTGCATTTTAGGTAGAGACAATTTTTTTAGCATCTTGCCTCCAATAACTACCTTACAGGTCTATCTCCACCTGTGTCCCCCCCCCAAAGGCAGTGGGAACCTGCCTCAGTTCCTCACTGTTTTGCACTGTTCTTTCTTCTGCTACAGAACACCTTTAGCTTCTCTGCAGTAGACTTCAGTATTTAAATGGACAGCAATGACATCTAGTGGTTTGTTAAGAATTTGCCTTCCTAAATTTCCAGCCCAGTCATTTTTAGGAGACAAAACACACAGCTCTCAGCGTTTCAGTTAACTGCTTCCAACTACATAGACCAACAGCAAGCGCATCCGAAACTCTCTACAAACTCCTCCATAACACACGCTCGCTGTTGTCTCCCCCAACCCCCAGCATTTTCCCAACCCCTTGCTTGAAGCCTAGGAGGCTGAGCTATCACGCACAAGTTTGCTTTAGGCCTTGCCTACACAACTATTTCTTCTGCACAAATCTAGCTACAGATAGCCCCTACATAGGGCTGAGGCTCCCACCCACCCTTTTGGTTATGCTGTTCTCTAGCTGCGTGAAATTAAATGGTAGAGGTTATTCACATGGACAAGGACAAGGCCCAAGGCCACATCATTTGTAACAGCTGGTACACAGTTCATTCACAGCTAAAAAGAACCATACAAAGGACTGTGATTTCAAAAATGTAAGTGTGCTGAAATTACAAGGAGAAAAGATAAAAATATTATTCTGAAAGCAAACAAGAGATCTTGCAGATTAGATTTATAGGAGAAAAGTAAGTGGTTCACTACCCTCCATCCCCCCCCAAAACCCTCTTACCTTTTTCACTCAGTGATATTGCAAAACTGCCAAGAAGCACAGGTGAGTGGTTACTGAAAATTCTGAGGCATGTGACAATGTAAGGAAAGTTCAGAGGATATCTTTATGTAGCTTCCTGCACTACTGGCACTAGCCATTTAATCACTGCTGGAGTCCTTGCAGGCATTAACACTCTCCACAGCCTTGACACAAATGACCCAAAAGATTTTTCAGTTAACAACATTGAGGAACAATGGTGAGGAAGCATGAGATTTGTGCTATGTAAGAGCCTACAGCCCTCAGCAAATGTTGCATACTAGTCATTAAGAAAAACCCCACCACCTAGTTCTAGTTTTGTTAACTGAGACCTATTAATACCCAAGACTGGAATTTTGAGGTGCCTTCCCCTACCACCCCACCTCAGGCAAAGACTTGAGGGTTTTTATTTACTTTCTGTGTCTCAGTTTCCACAGACACATGCTTCTTCCAATATTATGGATGAGCAGATCTCCCTGGAATGGTCTATAAGCAAATAATACTGCTATTCTTCAGAGCGCAACAGAAACATTTAGTGATGTGACTGTTCTATAAGAACTAATAGGAAAAGAATGGAGGACTACAATAATTCTACATACCAGAAGAACATTGTATAAAAACCCAAAAGCAAAGAGATGGAGCAAGTATTAAGAACATCTCGAAGAAAATAAATAATTTCAAATTACTCCCTGCATCAGAATGAGTTGCTACTCGTGTTTCTGCTAAAGGGCAGAAAAACAGCCACTTGCCTTTGACCATAAACCGGCTTGGGTGGGGGACTACTGTTGCTTTATAGTGACATATACAACCTTAAATACCACACTGCTTACATGAAAAGATGATGATTCAGGAGTGGCCAGTTACAACAGGTTTAATGCTGAACTTCAAAAGACATCACATTTAGTTTTCATTACAAATTCTTCTGGCAGACCCATCGACTCATTCAAAGCAAAAGGCTATCCAGAGCCAAAGACAACTACAGCATGTGGGGTTTCTGAACCACTGCAACACTGGTTTCTGATAAGCCAGAAACAAACACTACCAGGTGGTAATGAGACTGCCCATCCCATGGCTCCAACAATGAAGAAGATTTCAGAACCTCAGGTCTTCCTACTGTCAGCTCTGTTTTTTATTTCTCATGTCATTTTACGCAGATAAAAATCATTCATTCAGGGCTGAAGCTCACAACAAAAGCATGGATGTTCTTCTAAAGCTCTGAATGGTTATCAAAATTCTTAGGTCAGCTCCTTGAGGAAACCAATTTATAGTCCCTTTCAATGGTGTGAAGACCCATTTCTACAACCCTACAAACAGGGTAAGTGACTAACAGACTAAGAGAGGTACTCAAGACAAGCACATACATTCATGTGAAAGAACTAAAAAGGTTTTTCAAAAGACAGTATTTTTTATTGCCTTAATCACAAGAATCACCATTTTTCATTTAGATCATCCCATTCTTCTGCCAATTAATACCTTTGTGATTCAGCCAAACAGCATAACTTCATTAAATTTTAGTTTCTTTGAAAACTGAACCCTTGCTAAATTGCTAAAAAAATTTTTTTGTTCCCTCACCCACAATCTATATCTACACCTTCTGGGAAGAATTCTCCAAGTCAGAGCAATAGACAGAAGCACTGACCTGCAGCCATGTCCAGAAAGTATCAAATACTGTCAGGAAGGCAAAAGACTGTCTGGCCACAAAGTACTGGCTTCAAATGACAAAGCAAATTTCACACCAACAGAACTTTCTGTAGTCTACCCCTGAGGGAACCTATGACTAGATCTCTAGCCTAGTGCTTAAGTGCAGCTTGAAGAAGATCACAGCAGGATAATACAAACAGGTTGTGTTCCTGCTTGCACAGTATCAGTTGAAACCTGACTGCTGCACATAGCAGTTTTTTTTGGGGATGAATACAAAACCAAGACCCACTATACAAAGACAGTCACAGTAGAAATAGGATGGAGAGAGGGAGGAAGGGGTGAATAGGCTAGGAAGTATTGCTAGAAACAGTACCTAGAGAAAATTCGAATGTATGGGCTGGTCCATAAAGCTCGTGGGAAAGAAAATCATACACCTTGAATTGCAGGCAAGTGACTTAAGTGTATTACGAGACACTCCTGCTTAAGAATTACACACATTCTTATATTACACTGTGTAGAAACATGTATTTGTGTAGCATGATGTTTACAAAATATACATGCAAGAGCATTTGTCCTTTCATGTTCTTTCCATGTATGTGGTTACAGACTCTCTGCAAAAAGGAAACAGAAGGTAATTCTAGCTTTGAAAGTGGCAAATGAAGACTACACTGCTTAGTGTCCTTTGCTACCTTTCCCTTTAAGCTTGTCTTCACCAAAATAAATACCACACAACAGGGAAGACAAATCACAGGCTGTTCCAAATTTCTTCTGGACAACAAGGCACACCATTAGCTTCACACTGAGAACCTCAGAAGAACTGCAAGCAGCAAACATCTGCTAAATATATTCCAGTAGGTTAGCTCTAACTATTGTTCAAGTTCTTAGACAGCCATAACTATATCTCCCCATATTTCAAGACTAGCTCCCTGTAATCCTGAAAACAAGACCCCACTGCTCTTTCCTCAGAGTTCCACAGAAGCCACTGTGTTCCTGCTTCTGGAGGTTATATTCCCACCACAGAAGCTTCACAAGTTGTGAACAAAACCATGCTGCTGCATGGACAGTTGCAGATTTGGAAAACTACAGCCAGCTTTGCATCTCCTCTTCATACTTTTGGGGATCAATAAAAGGCTTGTCAATGGACCGGATCATCAGCTCACCACAGTACACACATTCAGCTGCTACAATATCATCAATGTCAGCTTTGATCTGTTCCCGGCTTGGCTGCCCCTTCCCCAAGCTAATGGTATCTGCATCCTTGGGACGATGGTGGCTCTTGGAAGGCTGACTGGTAGCTGCCAACTTCTTCTGAAGATCTTCAAGTTTTGCCTGCTTATAGGCAGGAAGGTTTGGGAAAACTGCCTGGAGGAGACAGTCATAGTGAAACATATGACCACAGAGGAAAAGGTAAAAAGGGCGGTTTAGAAGTGGAAAGTCACAAGCAGCACACTTTTCCTGAGGCTCCACAGAGCCATACTTATTTCTCATTTCCTGGATGTCCTCTCGGATTCTCTTGGCACTCTGTGTGGCTTCCTCCATCTCCCTTTTCAGCTCCTCAATGTGCTTGTTGTAGTCCTCCAGGGAGTTACAGATTGCCTCCTTGAAATGGTCAATAGTGACAAAGTCTGGAAAGAATGGCAGGACATCTTCAATCTTCAGCAGGGCACAGCTGGAGAGGCAGGCCATTGCCTTCTTGACATCCTTCTCTTCCTGAACAACATGGCAAGCAATCTTCAACCAGAGCTTCTTCCGGAGTTCCTCATCATCTTCAGGGAGGTCTGCACAAGACTTGGCAAGATCAACATCCACCTAGAAGTTGGACAGACAAGGAAATTGAGTTAAGCTTCCCTCTGTTTATCCACCACTCAATTTCAAAGCTTGCTGTCCATTATAGGAGGCATTAATAGAAAACTTCTATTGCCATCTCATTGCCTAGGGCTGCACTACTGGCCTGCTCCTTGTTTACATGTCGAACACCTCTCCTCTCCACCAGCATTCCTCCCTGAAGATTTGCTTGCTACCCAGCAGAGAACAACAAACCCCAGCACTACAATAAGGGCAAATCCATGTTACAGTATCTTGCTGACCACACATTTCGTCAGATATAGCAATGCCAATAGAAAAAAACTCCCTGAAGGTCGGACTAAGCTGACAAAAGCGTTCTTCTGTGATAACTATCATGGCTAGGAATAGGAACTAATTAGAATCCTGAACAATAGCTATACAAGTCTTGCATAAATGCAGGTATGTTAAAGGTATGTTTAAAGACTTGTTAGAGACTGAGCTTAAGACAGACAGTACTCGTCCTTGTACTTTCCATGCCCCTACCCTCAATTATGGCTTGTTACAGTCAGCCATCTACTTAAAACAATTGTGAAAGCACAGATGTATGTTAACAGAGACAGGTCTTTCTTCTTAGGCTTAGCTGCACATCTCATATACTAATGAGTCTGTACAGATCCTCTCAATGCTCGGTTGTTCAAGATAACTTGAACAAGTTACATTCCTATATATCGTAGCATGCATGCACAGACACACATACCTGTAAGGCAAGATCCACGGCCTCCTCATATAATTCCATCACTTTGTAAATATGGACACATGCATGGTGGTGCCCATGCTCTGCACACAGGCGCAACGCATACTTCAGGTCATAGTGGATCCTGTTTGGGTTGGTTCCTGCCTGCTCCAGGTATGATAGCAGCGAGTCCGGCCGACACAAAGCATAAAGAGACAACAGGTAGTTGTGAATTGCTTGCTGGGTTTCCTCCAACTGATAGACACAGAACTCCATATATCTAATGGCTTCATTGATCTGCTGGGTGCTAGCACTCTGGCTATAGTTAACAAGGGCTGGAATGAGGTTCCTGGCATCCAGTCTAGAGCCCATAGAAATCCAAGCATCAACTACCTTCTTGGGAATATGCTGGATGAGGACTGGAGAAAACTTGTAGAACAGCTTCTCATCTCTGTGCCTGGACAGCACATTTAGAGCTTCATCGTACTCATCATGCTGGCAGTGGTGAGCTACTACACGCTCATAGTCCTGCATGATGACTGCAAAGTAGACCATGTGTTCTGTGTCCCCGTGGCTTGCCAACAGCTCATAAATAGACGCCCGGTTATTAAATAGACAGTCCTTGTTTTTAGGACTGCTCAGGAAAGTGCGAAACTTCTCTCGTGTATCCAAATAGAGATTTCGCTGTGAGGGATCTCCTTCCAATATACCTAGCCAGTTCAGGTACAGCTCCGTTAACCATGTGGTCAGCAGAGTCGTCTGTGTCTTCTCAGAAGGCTTTAGGTTACTTAGCTTCTTAATCAGAAATTCCATCAGGGCCTCTTCTTGCTTGGCTTCAATGAACTTAAGGGCAATCTCCTCAAAGTAATTCTGGGTCAGTGCATAGCATTTGGCACTGTCTAGATACCTCTTGTTTTGGAAGCAGTGCTCTGCCTCTTTTGCCAGCACAATATCTAGGCACTCTGGACGGTCTTTACAATACTCTTTGGCTAAATCAAACTTGTTCATATTCATGTACATCTTCCACACATCTCTAGATTCCCGCTGGACGTGGTAGCGGAACACTACTTTCTCAGTGTGGATCCATATTTGCTGGACTGTGGGATCTTTGATCATACATGTCAGTAAGCCAAACTTCTCCAGGAACAGATCTTGAAAAACAACCTGCCCATTCAGAGTGCATACAGCCTTCACCCGATCAGGCAGCAGCAACAGGAAGTGGAATTGGGTAAGTACAATGGATATTGGCTTGTTCACAGTTATGTCAATATCAGAAGGATAAACCCAAACCCGTTCATCACTCAAAATCGAATCAGGACGGCTAAAATCCAATGTACCATATAAAACACCATTTCCCATCATCCAGGCAAAGGTGTGTGGGTAGGAGCGCAGTTTTGGGGTGTAAAGGGCTATTTCACTAAAACCAAGGTTGGCCGGAAACTCCCGGAAGCTGGGCAAATGGTCAGCATGCATAGCAAATATAGAGCTGAAGCCTTGCTGCTCTGTCCCTTCAGGCACTTTGCCAACAAACTGGAAGAGTCTCTTTCGAGTGGTGGCTATAATAAAAAATTTCCCTTCTATCCCTCGTTCAATCTCCAAGCAGCAGACTGGGGCAGGTCCTGACTCCTCCTCCAGAGTGTAGACCTGTCGGAAGTACTGGTCAGGATTAGTGCTGAAGAGGCTTCCCTCGCTGACAGAGATTTCAGCCTCATAGATCTGCCCCTGGGCTGTCCCCACCAGTATAGGCCCAGTGTTGGTCTCTGAACCAAGAAATTTGTTCCAGCCAACACTTTCAATCAAGTGGCCTTTCCAGCGGGAGAGTGCTCGCACTTTCTGAACGCTTCTGTTCAGGTAAAGGCATTCGCTGGTGTTCAGAGCAACCAGGAGATGAGAGCCTGCCACAGGAGGGGGGTATGGGAAGGAGAAGGAGAGAACAAATTAAGACTGTGCCAAAGCAAGCCAAATTCCTGAGGCTTCTAATCCTCACATTTGATAAGCTCCGATATGAACATACTTAATCCAAGACTTTCCCAGGCATTCATAGGAATGTGGGGGATTTCCATGCTGGATCAGAACAGTAGTCCACATATTTCAAACTTAGTACCAGATGCTTCAGCGAGAAGGTATTCTGCTGTTTGAACAAGTGTTCTAAGGACAAACAGTTCCCAGAGTCTTCTCCTATCCCTGGCAGCTGGTGACAGATATGAGCATCTCTTTCTAAACTTTTGCTTTGCTTTTTAAAATCAGTCAAGGCTACAATGAGCTGCAGATGTTTTACAGTCCTTTTCAATAATTTTATATAAACACATACAGCACAGGGTGACTGCAAAGATTTCCTTTTATTGGTTTTAGCAGTCTTGCTCAGAGCAGCCTAATTGCATGTGTTCCTTTCAGAGTTCAAAAGCAACAACAAACACACAACAAGCCCGTGTTTTTCTAATAACACTGGGGCAAATCAGTAGGCAGGGCCCCTGGGCAATGGAGTCCTGCCCACAGAAGAACCACCTGTTCTCCTTATTTACAGAACAGAAACTCCTCCACCAGTGCTTGTTATGCACATTCAATTGCATCTGCTGGCAACCACTATCTGTAAATATACATAATCCATTGCCTCACCTGTGTGGTCCAAAAACATCTTGTAGACTTTGGCTTCATCTTTGCGTCCCAGCTCTACCTGATTAGGTTCATCTGGCTTCCCAAGATCAATCCTGCAAAGAGAAACCATGAAAGCATGCTTCCAACAAAAGTTCACATAGGCGTAATTGCTTACTGTTTTCCATATTGGGTTCATGGTTTCTTATCCAGTTTGTAACTCTAAGTTCTTTAACAGCTTAAGAAAAAAAAGGCAAGGGAAAATAAGCAGTAACTTCAGGTCTCTGGCAGCATTACCTGAGAAGGGTGTCTTTGCCAAGGCTCATACAGAGCTGGTTAGAGGAGACTACTAAGCTGTTAATTTTCTCTGGAGGAGCAAAATCAATCCTTTGCTTGTTAAATATTGGTGTTTCCTTCTCCAGTCGTGCATTCACATATCCTGAAGAAAGAATATGAACACTTAAAAACAAAACAAGACAAAACCCCACAAAAACCACCCCACACTGCATCAAAATCTAACCTAGAAGACTAGAAGGATCATCGCCCGCTCTGAGTTTTTCTGAAAAGGGAGTGTGCTCCATGGAGCATGAACACAGAGAGCAGCACCCACACAGATATGTATAACAGGAAAGAAAAGTCGTAATACACTTTACCATCTTGTCACAAAACTGCAAACTTGTCACAAGCATTAATTTGAAAGCACACAGAGTTCCAGAGGAAGCCACAAAACTGTCACAAAACTGCATAAAAAGCTGAAAATTAGAGCAGACTCACAAAGTAACATGTTTTCCTTGGTTGACAGTTTATTTGTTCGAGACAGGAAAGAATTACTGGTATTACATAACTCAAAGAGGACTCCGGTTTGACGCTCCCATACAAGCTACCCAAGATACTGCTATGGCGTTAATTGAAATCTATTTCTCTCTTATTCCATGCTGGAATTGAATGACCTACCATACTTAGCATCCATCATTCACAAGCTAAAGCTATTTTTAAAGCCATGTTGGGTTTTTTTATATCCACATAGCAGACTTCATCACAGTAAGAAGTCTGTTGGATTATTTGCTGCAGTGAACACAGCTGGAGGTCACAATGATGCTTTTACCACAACCCTGTTTTACCAACCACAACACTATTCTAATTGCAACTTTCCAGTTGTTGCTGGAAGGCATGTGAACTAATTATTAGAGCCAAAACAATACCAAGACCTGGTGATTTCTGAATCAATGCTCCAATCTTGGCATAAATTCCTTCCTGAGCCAAAACCCATTCAGACTGGTTCACTGTTTCATGGCAAATCCCAAGATGGAGCCAGACTAACCTATCCTCAGATCCTTTCAAAATACGTGCCTGAATTCTAAGAGATGCCCAATCAAGTTAACGTTAGAGTTAAGGGCTGACGTCTCACAAGACATGGCCACTTCATGTGACAAATGTTGCATTTTAAGCCCAACCTGACAAATCAATACACTGAAAATGGGAGTGTGTACAACCAGAGGAAGTTAGGTCATGCGACTAATTATCTAGCTAGTCAGTTTAGTCCCAACAAGCTTGGGAAATGTGGCATCCAAAGGAAGGCATGTTGAAGGATTACTTATGAAGATCTAGGTAGGAAAAGCAAAGAATGGAGAAGTAAGGTCTGACTTGAGGGAAGTGACATACTTCTGTAGAAATATGTTAATAAATAAATTAATAAAACCTAGAAATCTATTCCTTTAAAAACCTTCAGTGCAGATGGGCAAAGCACAAGATGCCGTTCAAACTCATTCCTTTGACTATGACAAAGGCATAGGCAAGCAGTCAACAAACTGAAACTTTTAAGACAGGTGAACTTGTAACACCATGTGGCAGCAGAGAAGCAGCATGACAGATTTAGTTTTGATTGAGGATGGGTAGACCTTTGCACCCTAATACATGGGACTTGTAAAGACGACATCATTCTATTCCTAAATGAGGACAGCACTCTTCATGGTCTTCCTATGAAGAAGGAAAAAAAAAAAACCCACCCCACCACTATGAAAGAGCTCAGATATGCCAGTGAACTGCAGAATAAGAAGGTGTTCATATAAAACCAAACCAAACTGATGATACTCATTAGCAAAAATCCTGGAACATACATGCATCCTCAAACAGACCTTATCACAGAGTTTGATCCATATCTGTCCCATGAGACAAGTTTTCCCAGTGACTGAATTTCCCATACAGACAAAGTGTTACATAACCCTCTGACAAAGAAAACAGCAGAGCATCTTGGTCTGACCACACAACCTCAAGCTAGAAAGCAAGACAGATTGATACATTGCTAGGGTAACCCATGTGCAAGTGAAGGATTTCTAAAGCAAGCAGATCCATGCAGCAGTGAGCCTGGACAGGAATATTAAAAACAAAGAGCTATAGCAAGTTAAGGCCATTCATGGCCAAAGCACCTAATTAGGAAGAAGTAAACTTACAAGAAAAAAGAAACCTGGGTTTGCATCTCAGAGGAAACAGACTGCTTCCATACTAAAGAGCAAGGCTTGACACTCTCTAGACTGGGATTAACAGCACCACTTCGATGCACACTCAATACTATAACCTCCCCCAAATTATCCTGAAAAACTCTAATTTCACCCCTGTTGCTGTTGAAAAAGCCAGTGTAGTAGTGGAAAGCAGCCTGCTAACACTACAAATCCTTTAATTGCCTATTCCATTAATGCCTTCTCCTTGCCTCTGCCTCACCACTAGATCGGCTGCAGGATCTTTAAAGGACTCTTGTTTTAGAGGAAAGATGCACATGCAGGAACAGATAAAGGAACCACAATCTGAGTAGGGAGCCTTTTGCTCAGCACATATGTTTTTTTCTTACACGTTGATGCACATTTCAAACATTAGCCACTCATGCAAATGCCCATTCCTTTATTTCCAGTTAAGCAAAACAGATGTTCTTCATTTCAAATTAGGGAGTTGCAATGCCATGGTTTAAATTTGCTGGTATGCACTGTGGTTCAAAACACGCAGACAAAGCTCCCAAGCTGCAGACTCACATGAAGTCACTGCTAACCAATAAATATAAACACATATTTGTATCTATAAAAAGGAAGAATTACTCTGATGGGAAAAACCCATATACCAACAGATCACCAAGTCACGTTCATTCAGGCTATCTTGAATATTTTTCAGATTGCCACCAGGCAAAACAAAGCTGACTGAGACAGCAAGGAAACACAAACACAAGAAGGAAAGGGAACAACTAGCACTTATACATGGGTAGGGGTTTAGAGTTGGGGTGGGTTTTTTTGTGTTTTGGGTTTTTTGGGTGTTTTTTTGTTTGGGTGGTGGTTTTTTTTTTTAATTCAGCCATAGTTCAAGCCAGTGGATTGGATTCCAGCATTCTGGACCCTTTAGGACTGTATCCATTACAATTATAACAACTGTAGGATCACTGTCATCAACAAGAGGATTTTAACTAGCCTCCATAACCTCTGCGCCTGGCAAGATCATGGTGTAGATCCTCCTGGAAGCTACACTAGGGCACATGGGGAAAAAAAAGGAGGTGACTGGTGAGAGCCAACACGGCAAAGCATGCCTGACAAATCTGGTGGCCTTCTACAACAGAGTTACAGCATTGGTGAATAGGGGAACAGCAACTGATGTCATCCACCTGGACTTGTGCAAAGCATTCCAACACTGTCCTGTACGACATCCTTGTCTCTAAATTGGAGAGACAGGGATTTATTTGACAGATGTATCAGGAACTGGCTGAAAGGTCACACTCAAAGAGTTGCGGTCAACAACTCGATGTCCAAGTGGAGACCAGTGATGAGTGGCATTCCTCACGGGTCAGTATTGGGACTGGCGCTGTTTAACATCTTTGTCAGCGACATGCACAGTGGCATCAAGCGCACCCTCAGCAAATTTGCCAACGACAAAGTTGTGTGGTGAGGTTGACACGCTGGAGAGAAGGGAGGCCATCCAGAGGGACATTGACAGGCTGGAGAGGTGGGCCTGTGCAAAACTCACTAAGCTCAACAAAGCCAAGTGCAAGGTCCTGCACCTGGGTCAGGGCAATCCCAAGCACAGATACAGGCTTGGTAGAGAATGGATCGAGAGCAGTCCTGTGGAGGAGGACTCGGGGGTGCTGGTGGATGAAAAGCTGGACATGACCCAGCAATGTGTGCTCACAGCCCAGAAAGCCAATTGCTTCCTGGGCTGTATCAAAAGAAGTGTGGCCAGCAGGTCGAGGGAGGGGATTCTTCTCTTCAACTCTGCTCTCATGAGACCCCACTTGGCATACCGTGTTCAGCTCTGGAGCCCCCGGCACAAGAAAGACAGGGACATGCTCAAGTGGGTCCAGAGGAGGGCCATGAA